AATATTTCGTAGAATTTTCAAAAGGGCAAAGTGGTCTTAAAAAGTAGGGGTATAAAACAAACCTCCAACGGCACACAGTGGATACACTGACCGGATTCCGGATGATGGCAACTAAAACACGGGGAAGCCGAGAAAGGCAACAGTTAGCGGCGCACATTGAGCATGGATCCTGATTCAGAGTTACTATTTGATGTCTAAGAGTTATCAGGCAGGATGTGAAGACAAAATGGGATAGAAAGCGCTCAGGACAAGTAGCTACGGTTTTGTAAAAAAAGAGATCGCAGTCTAGGTTATAGCCTACAATTGTTCGCTTCGGTTTCGCATGATTCGACCATCCTTTGCTGCCAGAATGACGTCAACCTCGTCCTCCTTAATACTGTTGGTCAGCTGGCGAGGAGTCACGATCTAAAGAAGTACGAACAAAGGCAGAAATGAACGAACCTCAACATATGCGTCTTACAGATAGTAGTAAAGTGGGGATTTGAAGTGTCTGTTAAACGATGCCGTCGACTTTGCTTTAAAGCCCACCGCTATCATGGGAAAGAGCTTCCACTCGTAGGCGCCAAACAATGGCGGGTGCATTTTTTGCAAGTCATAGATACCCAGAGATCCGTGGCGTGACCGAGTTTAAGACGGTCGGTGGGTAATGATACGCGGCTCAAATTAGACCTCACAAGCAGGCATGACAATAAATATCGATTTCCTGACAAAAAAAGCACTTCAGAAGGTCAAACTCGAAAGGAATACATATGTACTGTGTTGCCGTAAAACGGTGGATGTTCAATAATCACACCCAATACATTCACACGTGCTATGTCTCGCACTCGTAGAGAATTTGTGTCTTTATGCATTTGTGAATGCTGTTATCAGATAGTATTGCCCGCAAAGATTAAGGAGACTAGAATGGCCATTTCCGGCTTATTGGCCGTCGTCAGCCGGTCATAGTCAACCTCAAGTTATGGATCACCCGAGGCTCGAACTCATGACCTTTTCGATCACAGTCTAACACTCTAACCATTGAGCCACAAGCTCGTTAGAGCGTCGGAGCGCTTAATGGTTAGAACGTTAGACTCTGATCGAAAAGGTCGCGAGATCGAGCCTTGGATAGTGCACCACTTGGGGCTGGCCGCGGCTAGCTGACGACAGCCAATAAGCCAGAAATGGTCATTCCAGTCTCCCTTGTCTTTTTCGGCAATACTACGACTAGCCGCTACGACTACTGTCAGAAATAAGACCCAAGGCATAGTGGGACAAGTGAGTTCCGTTAGTGGTCGGTTAACGTTCAGCAACGAGCGCCAATATTGCTAGCTTATTTCTGTTGTGTACTATTAAAATAAGTGAGACAAGCCGAGTAAATATAAAATAAAGCACATTAAATAATGCACACAGTTCTTTTTAGTTCCCCGTCACACCATCAATATGGTAACGCTGATGGTTACCTTAATACACACCTTCCGGCACACGAAACCGAATTTTCACCAGCTGCCTCAGTTGGTAATTAACTGTTATTACCAACCAGAAAATGCAAGAGTAAACTCTTCAATTTCTAACGAGTCTTTTGATCTTTTAATTTTTTTCAACCTCAGTCCTGAGGAGCCTAACTGCTATTTAGATGCGCCAAGATCAGCGGGTATCTTATTTGCTAAATAAAAGAGTGTATAAGTCACTAATGAGGGCAAATTATAAAAAATCGAAAGCAGAAGAAAACAAAATACAAATAAAACACAAAAGAGTGTTCACTTGCAGTGTCGTCCGCAGATGTGGTTGCTTTCGGTGTTTTGAGAAGATAAACCATATCGCCATTGCTACAAGAAGAGGAAGAGGAATTTTACTAAAAGAAACTTCAGAAATTGGTATTCTTAATCAGGCGCCCGCGAAATGAAATGTAGTAGGTAGAACAAGGAAAAGAGAGTTATTTAATATACACTGACGCATTGAAACTCCCTCTGGTGGTGAGAGAGAGCAGAATGGCCTTCAAATTTGACATAAGCCGGCTACCGAGTCAAAAAACTAAGCAGTTACGAAGACTAACCTGATGCCTATAAATAGCTGTAGGAGCAGACCCAAATTTTATCCTGACCCTGAATTTTACTATGTGAGTTCAACTACCACGAAATTTGACCTCTATTAGAGCAGCTTCGGAGGCTGACGGGTCTATCGACTAATGTGGGAATAAAATTATGTCACCTGGCTGCATTATAAGAAATAGAGAATAGCGTTTTCTCTGTTGTAATGAGAAGAATCTTGTTGTACTGGCGAGTCAGTTCAAGACCGCTGAAGTAAAATAGGAGCTCTGTGTGTCTCTCCAATGTGCGCTCAGCAAGTTATCATTGCGCGGGAACAGTCTCAGAAGCAAACCGATGTTTTCGCATTCACTGATATGCTGCCACTAATAATTCCGGTTAGAATAATGACAAAATCGTTATGATTTAGGTGATTGAGGCTTCGCTTATGCGATGGAGCAGATGTCAAGGAGGGCTGCTCCTACACGAACTTACGATGCAGATGAATTTTAACGCCCTAACTATTTGGGCCACGAGCTCGTTATCCTGTCGGTTGCAATCTGATATATTAATGCAAATAGCCTAGGTAATCAAACTGAACCTAAGAATAATATCTTAGAACGCGGATGATCGCGTCAGACCTGAGCGTTGGAAACATCTTCTAATGCAAGATAGACGACAAAGGTCTCGAGGAGTTTCTGCTACCTTGTGGTCGAAGTTTCTATAAAGGCAAAAGTGTATGCGCAATGGGCATACAGTAAAATTCACCTTTACCTCTGAAATTAGTGT